CTATATTTTAGATTTTATATATATATATATATATATATATATATATATACACATACATATACACACATAACCTTTAGCACATAACTTAAACATTTATCCATTATACTTTTTCAAGTTGTCCAGACTGATGTATGCCTTCCACTGTCAAAACACCTCTCCGCTCAGCAAACCACAGCTGCAGGGTGTCTAACACACTCTAACTCATCTTGAGACCATAATACTTCTATTGTAGCTTCTCATCATTGGCACCTGGCTTGTTTAAAAATGTATTTTTTGATGTTTCTGATTTTACTCAAGTCTTAATGTGGATAAGCCTCTAGCTATGTCACTGACCTTGGACCTTCTCACAAGTCTGAGTTCCTTAGGCAAGGTGTTTTCATTGTATGCTGATCCTGCATTTCTTTATCCTCTCAATGATTCTGTAAAGCACTATTAACTCTGTAAAGTTTGGTGTGGTGCGGCTTTTGCAAATGCAATAAAAATTAAGTTAATAGATTCTGTAAGAAATGGTAAAAAGAAATGGAGAGAAAACATACACACTGACAGATGCTTACAACACATGACATTAAACATGAAACACACCTAAAGAGCAGTCGGGCCCGGTCCAGTTCTGGTCGCAGGTACAAGTATTGGTCTCTGTGTTGTAGGTGCCATGACCTGAACACTGATCCGGACACATGGCCTTGGCAATCTCACAGCTGGCTCCGCCCCAGCCTAGCTGGCAGTGACATTCACCATGGATACACACTCCATGGGCCGAACAACTAGGATCTATGCAGTCCACTGGAGACAGAAAGATGAAGAAAGGGAGTTATATAATACAATACAATACAATATACCAAATACTACATAAATGTTTGACATGCAGTGGAATAAGCTGTAAGCTAAAATCTACAAATAAAAACTACAATCACATTGTTACAACCCAACTATAACAGGCTGATACATGTCCGGGTGTGTATCCAGGGCAGGGCCACAGAGGTAATGCCCTTGGATTCACATCTGTGGCTTTGAATCAATCAATCAATCAATCAATCAATCAATCAATCAATCAATCAAGGAATCAAGGAATCAATGAATCAATGAATGTATCTATGTATCTATCTATCTATCTATCTAAAATATACACAGATGAAAACATACCTATAAATATTCTATTCTATTTATGCCAACCAGTTTGATGGTTGTGCGGTCAGACACAAAGAGCACAGGTGTTTTGTTCCAGGGTTTGAACATTGATGATGACGCTTATGAAACGCCACAAGGTTTATAGCCATCTTAAACAGCAAAGGGAACTCACATATCCACAGTCAAACTACTCTAACAAAGGAGCTCAGTGTTCTGTTGCTGAAGGTCAGGAAGAGAACTCACACCTGAACCCCATCCTGTTTTGTAGGCTGCTCATGCTCAGCACCCTCCTCTATGTGAATGTTAACTCTTTCAGTGCTGCTCCTCACAAATAGGCTGTGATATTTTTTCATGGAAATAATACCTGGCATCTTTGCTATGATTTGAAGATTCAGCAGCCATAAATAAGAATATCACACATAAAAAAACACACACACACGCACACACAAGCTCTGGTGTTCAGGGTAAATTATCTCTGACTCTCTCCTTCTGTTTCCCTCATACACTCACTCACAAAGGATTAGTGTGACCGACGATTGAACTAATCTGGACACTAATCTGGTTACTGTCCCCTGTGAGAAACATTTGCATATTTGTATGAGTGTGTATGTATACACAGTTTATGCACACCATTTGTACACAGGTGGATGATGAATGTGTGTACACGTATAGGGATATGTGTCAACCTCTGTGTTGTAGTAAATATGTGTGTGTCCAATCAGCAGATAGGAGATTAGTATCGACCAATTCATATTAAATTTGTGTAGTGTACAGTTTGTAACCTATTTTAGCCAACTACCTGTCAGCAGTTGGGCAGTAACCACATGCATGTATTTGTGTGTGTGAGAGAGAGCTTAGAGTAAATTAATTAATTATGTAGTGGTAATGCTATCTGAAGCTGTCAGCAGCAGCTGATTTTAGCTGATACTTACATGCAGGTCAATGGGATTATTATCTTGTAAACTTCATTATAATTAAAGCTGCAAGCAGCGTTGGGCGGGACCTCGCACTCCACGCAACTCGGGGCGTGCTGCGGCCGCGTCACGTGCTGTCGTAA